AGAATACTGTGTACGTGATAAATAAATATAAAATCGGAATACTGTGTACGTGATAAATAAATATGAAATCAGAATACTGTGTACGTGATAAATAAATATAAAATTAGAATACTGTGTACGTGATAAATAAATATAAAATCAGAATACTGTGTACGTGATAAATATAAAATTAGAATACTGTGTACGTGATAAATAAATATAAAATTAGAATACTGTGTACGTGATAAATAAATATAAAATTAGAATATTGCATGCATAATAAATGAATGAATGAATGAATATAAAACGAGTGTGCGAGGAAAACGCGTGTGCAACAGACGCCACGGACGGTTCTCACACTCACCGGTGAGCGCGGCCGAGGTGTGCACGCCCGCGGCGAGCTGCCTGACTGGGTCCCGCGGGGAGAAGGCGCCGAGGCGGTGGAAGGAGTCGCGGTCGTCGGTGTCGCCGAGCCCCAGCTGCCCCTCGCCGTTGCCCCCGGCCGCGTACACGGCGCCGTCGTCTGCGCACACGCGTGTGTCAGGGGGAGAAAAAAGTGTGTCCCAGCATGCGTCAGAGGGAGGGCGTGCACACACACGTGCACACACACGCGTGCACACACACGTGCACACACGCGTGCACACACACGTGCACACACACGTGCACACACACGTGCACACACGGGACGCCGCCGTACCTGTGCACACGAGGGTGTGGTTCCTCCCGCAGGCCGCCAGCCTCACCTTTTCCCGCTTGAGAGCTACGCGTGCGAAGAGGACAGGGAATTAATCACCACGTGTTGTGGGCGTGCAAATGATGACAAATAATAACCCGGTGTGCAAATGATGACGAATAATAACCCGGTGTGCAAATGACGATAAATAACCGGGTGTGCAAATGATGATAAATAACCGGGTGTGCAAATGATGATAAATAATAACCCAGTGTGCAAATGATGATAAATAATAACCCGGTGTGTAAATGATGACAAATAACCCGGTGTGCAAATGATGATAAATAATAACCCGGTGTGTAAATGATGATCAATAATAACCCAGTGTGCAAATGATGATAAACAATAACCCGGTGTGCAAATGATAAGTAATAACCCGGTGTGCAAATGATGATAAATAATAACCCGGTGTGCAAATGATGATAAGTAAATAATAATATTAAATAATATTAAATAAATATTAAAAACAAATATTAAATAATATAAAGATAAAAACAAATATTAAATAATATAAATATTTAAAAACTAATATTAAATGACATAAAGATAAAAAACGAACATTATATGATATAAATATAATATATATAATATAATATCACCTTTAACGCACGTCGGCTTGCTCAC